CCCCGCCCCGCCACTCACTGAGTAGGAAAAAAATGCAGCAGGAAGAAAATGAGAATATGTGTGCCATCTTTTCATCTTTGCTGCAAAACGGGGGGTGGGAGGGAACATTCATATGTCCATTGGTTACATCCTCATGCTTACAAAACAGTTATGGAATTCTCTTTTTTTGAAGGAATTATAGCATTGTTATTTTTTAATGAGATTCATATCAGAAATCTGCCAGAGAAAAATTTAGACAAAAAGCCGTGTGCCACAGTGAAGGCTGGATGATTAGATAAGGAAATAAGCTACACTATCATTTATGAAAAAGGGATGAAGAGAGATGCTGACCATTTTTGTAATTATATTTCTTCATATTTAGAAGTAAAGGTATAATCTTTGGATCTTAAAATATAAAAATCAATTAATCACACTGTTTCTTTAGAAATAAATGACATGCTGCATAAATCAATACCAGAGTTACATGAAAGTCAGGAAATAAAAAGGCCAGAGTGGTCCTCTATGGTTTTATTAGGCCACAGCTAGAATATCAATCCATGACTTGCCAAGGTAGTCTAGAATTCATGTGAAAATGTTCATAATAATGGAATCAGTTGTGGAAAGAAGAAGTATCTGATGTCCACAGTATACCCTGCCAGGTGATTCTGCAAAGGGCAAAATGACTGAGGCAAGGATTTCCTATACTGCTGGAAAAAAAATGTATCTCCAATCATCACAGGTTTAATAGCAATTCTTATATTTGGGCTGTAGAATTCATCTACTGCTGAGAAAAGACTTTGCCATGTGTTTCTCAATCTTTTGACATTTAGCAATAATTTGAAGATTGCCAAATTTACCATATATACTGAATTTCAAAAGAAGATTTATTTTAAGTCATTTCTTAGGTGAACAAATGTTATACAGAAAATAATTATGTACCTAACAGCAGTAATAGGAGTAAAGGCTAACCAGTTTTGTTATTTATTTACTTCAATATGGGTAATTTAAGAAAGATTTGTAGTCTAATGCCTTCAAATATAATTTCTAATACATACTGCAGTCACATAGGCATAACAGAATCTGACCAAGGACTGTCAACACAAATGACTTTCAGGGACTAGACAGGTATAGTCAATAAGTAAAGAGAACCCAGCTGGAGAACAATGACATGGAAATCTTGGTCTATGTTTTGTCATCAATCTTTTGATAGAAGATAAAAATGTATGTACTATATAAGTATGATCATGAATAGCAAATGTTCAGTACTAGTGTCAGAAGCAAGAGGAAAGCATTTGGACTTAGGCAAAATGAAGACCCCATATCCTACCAAAGGTGTTCCCAGTCCTATCTTACCATTGCCTTTGAGAATTTAGGTCTAGAGCTGCTCAATATTTTGATTTTTTTTAATATTTTTTGAAATTGTTTCTAAAATGTCACATTACCCTGTAGCTCAGATGGTAAAGAAATCCTCCTGCAATGCAGGAGGCCCAGGCTGGATCCCTGGGTTGGGAAATTCCTCTGGTGAAGGGAATGGCAATCCACTCCAGTATTCTTGTCTGGAGAATTCCATGGAAAAGGAGCCTGGTGGGCTATACAGTCCATGGGGCTGCAAAGAGTCGGACACAACTGAGTGACTAACACTTCTATTACTAACACAAACAGAATGCCTCTGTGAACTATGTAAAAGTCTTGAGCCTGGTGTAAGTCTGAGGAAGAACAGAGCATAGGTAAAACGAAACCACATAGGTGTATGTGTCTTGGTCAGGTTTGGGCAACATTCCCACTCTGGTTCTATCTTGATGCCTACTTCCTTCTCGAGTCCTTCCAGGTTGTGTGCTCAAGGGGGAGGAGGCAGGAAAGAAGAGGCTGCCAGAAGGTGTGCAAAACAGGAACACTGCAAGCAACCATGTACACTTGGGTACCGGAGTCATTGCTTTTAACTGGCTTTATGACACTTGTCTGACTCATTTAACATCTCTGTGCCAGCTTTTTCCTCCTTTGAACTGAAGAGAATTAGATTAGATAATGTCTAAAATCTCTTCTACTCTGAAAAATCTAGAAGTAGGCAAACTATTTCACAGCCTCTCTGTGTGGCAACTAAGGAAGTTGTTAGTCATACTGTATCAAGCCTATCATTTATCTTTAAACCTTGTTTAATAATACTTTTCACTGAGGTAATTTTCCTTTTCAATGGTTACCTTTATTTTTGTACTTTTACATGTTAAAAAAAAAGATTCTTTCTATGTGTGTGCTTTAGGAATAGGCTAACAGATTTCATCTTATGTATAAGGTCTAATACTGGAGTAGCTTCCTAGAGTGCTGTGTTCAAAAGGATTATGGGAGATCTAGAGGTGGTACACAGCATCATAATTGATTAGCAATGTCTGCATAGGTGAGGGAGAATGATTTCTACTTTTTATCAGAATTAGGTTTAGAAGTATTCTGAATCCTAAGATTTCAAAATCTCCTGAACCTTATATTAAACATCCAAGATGCATGGCTACTTATATATATATGTCTTGCAGAACTTAAATAAAAATTTTTAGCCAAAGTATCAACCTCCCTTCTATTTTTTTTGAGAGTGGGGACGACAGAGGGTGGCACTTTTTCTCAAATTACAAAATACATTATCAAAAGTATCATTACTTTAAGTTTTATTTCAAAATCTTGGAAATTCATTGGCAAAATATATAAAGTATATGTTGAACTGAAATTAAAATTAATTCTGCATATCTCACCTATATTCTCAGTTGTTTTTTTTTTTTTTTACAAATCAGGAACATAGTTTATCTTACTCTTCACAACTTAGCTAAATATCAAAGAGAGGAGTGGTACAAAGTATATTTCTTTTGCAACCTCATGGGCCACCAGTCCATGGGATTCTCCAAGCAAAAATACTGGAGTGGGTTGTCATTTCCTTATCCAGGGAATCTGCCCAACCCAAGGATGAAATCTAAGTCTCCTATTTGGCAGGCAGATTCTTTAGAATTGAGTTACCTGGGAAACCCCATGAAGCATATACTAAGCCTGTCAGATTTTAAATTCTCATCAGGTCTTTTATTCAGGCACATGGGACATAGAATCGAATTTCACCATCAAACAACAAAAATTGAATGTTTCAGAAATAACAGAATTTTACATGAAAGTAAAATCTTGAAATACTTAAAGGACAGAGACTGATTGCCCAGCAGTTTTAACAGGGACTCACAGCTAAATACTTTTTCAAGAAATAAACAAGAAAAGATAATTCTTCCAAATGCTAGGAATTCTAGAAAAACTTTTTTGAACAAAGTTGCTAAATTTGCTTCATAAAAAATATATTTCTATGAATAGTATGATGAAATTCTATTCCTCAAGTATTTTTTTAAAGTTCTGATTTTTAAATACATATATGTAGAATATTTTAAAATAATTACAATTTTATTATTTGTGCTTACTCCAAAGTAGGATAGAAAAGAACAACCTAATAGAGATCTTATCACTTCCTAGGTGAAGAAATATTAAAAATATTAAATTTGTTCTATTAATTTTCAGTAGATAAATGTGTGCTAATTTAGTTTTAAGATCCTGAACAAAATTATTCCCTAAGATGAAACATTGTCTCCACAGTAATCTTCATAAGATAGCATTTTCTAAATTGAAGTAAATTCAAATTACCACTGGCTCTGAATTTCTGAATTAGTAAAGAATAAATTATTCTGCAGTCATCCTACTGCTCAAGGTCTTATTACTGACAAATACATTTAAAAGAAATGCAACAATTTGGGGGGAAAGAGACAACCACACTGAAAATCCAGATTCTTAAAAAACTTTCCTCACAAAGCTTGCTCAGACGAACATTTCAGATCTCAATTAAATTTTTACCTGATATTCAAAACCTGTGTCCTAGATTTGTTTTTCTCCCAAGAGCCAGGGCGATAGCTTTTCCAACTATAGTCATATTTGAAAATCCCTAAATCTTTAAATAAAGGTTTCTTTGGATTCTATGGGAAGAATGTCTGTGTAGATTACACAACATTAATAACTCTGACACAACAATTAGGTTAAGAGAATTATAAATCAGAGACAAAGACATCCATTTATTTTTCATGTCTCCTAAAGAAAATCATATTGTTCATGGGATTCTCAAGGCAAGAATACTAAAGTGGTTTGCCATTCCCTTCTCCAGTGGACCACATTTTGTCAGGCTGTATACTGTCACCCTGCTTATATAACATACAAGCAGAGTACATCATGCGAAATACAGGGCTGGATGAAGCACAAGCTGGAATCAAGATTGCCAGGAGAACTGTCAATAACCTCAGATATGCAGATGACAACATCCTCATGGCAGAAAGTAAAGAGGAACTAAAGAGCCTCTTGATGAAAGTGAAAGACGAGAGTGAAAAAGCTGACTTAAAACTCAACATTAGAGAACCGTGTTCCAGAGAGCTAGCCTGCTATTACCTAGATGTACTAGTGATACTTTTCTCTTCATGGCCTCTAAACCTCATCTCTCAGTTTATTGGCCTGTCATCAGCAAGCAGATAGAGTTTGGACTCTGTGGAGAGGAAGGACACTAAGAGGTATTTCATGCATGGGCTTTGTAAGGAAGGCGATAACTGTCACTATTCACACGGTCTCTCTGACAGTCCATATGGTGTAGTGTGCAAGTATTTTCAATGAGGGCACTGTATTTACAGAGACCGCTGCAGATATGAACGTAGCAAGCCACTGAAACAGGAAGAAGCAACTGCTACAGATCTAACTGTAAAGTCAGCCCTTGCTGCTTCCATGAGTCTCTCATCAGTTGGACCGACTGCTGAAATGAACATGGGCGAGGCTGAGTCAAGAAATTCAAACTTTGCAACTGTCGGAGCCGGTTCAGAAGACTGGGTGAATGCCATCGAGTGTTCCGGGGCAGCCCTACTGTGGTCGGACTGCCCTTTCCTCCACTGAAGGCCCTCTTCAGGGCTCAGTGACCCAGGAGGACGCAGAGGAGGAGCAAAGTGTGGTGGAGACTAAGCAGCAGCTCTGCCCCCATGCCATGGTGGGGGGAGTGCCGCTACGAGGAGAACTGCGCATGCCTGCACGGAGACGCTTGTGACACGTGCGGGCTGCAAGTCCTCCATCCCCCGGATGCTGCTCAGAGGTCAGAGCATATAAAATTCTGCATCGAGGCCCACGAGGACATGGAGCTCTCGTTCGCGGTGCACCGCAGCAAGGACATGGTGTGCAGCAACTGCATGGAAGTGGTCTACGAACGAGAAAGCCAACCCCAGCGAGCTCCGCTTCGGGATCCTCTCCAATTGCTGTCTCAAGTGTATTCACAAGTGGAGGAGTGCTAAGCAACGTGAGAGCAAGATCATAAAGTCCTGTCCAAAATGCCTGATCACATCTAACTTTGTCATTCCAAGTGAGTACTGGGTGGAGGAGAAAGAAGAGAAGCAGAAACTCATTCAGAAATACAAGAAGGCAATGGGCAACAAGGCATGGAGGTATTTTGATGAAGGCTGTGCGAGCTGCCCATTTGGAGGGAACTGTTTTTATAAGCATGCATACCCTGATGGTTGCAGAGAGGAGCCACAGAACAGAAAGTGGGAACATCAAGCAGATACCAAGCCCAATAAAGGAACCACTTCTGGGAGCTCATCGAGGAACCAGAGAACGGCAACCCTTTTGACGACAAGAGGAGGTTGTCACCTTTGAGCTGGGCGAGATGTTGCTTATGCTTTTGGCTGCAGGTGGGGACGACAACCTGACAGACTCTGAAGATGAGTGGGACTTGTTTCACGATGAGTTGGAAGATTTTTATGACTTGGATCTATAGCAACTCGGCGGGGCACATGAACTGGTCTGCCAGACAGAGGGCAGCAGGCCTCGGGGACTGCAGCTGTACCCCGCCACTCTCCTAGGCAGGCCTCTCAGCTACAGGTGCTGTCATAATCATTTTTACCTAGGGCCTGTCTTCTCAACCCCTCACCTTTCCCCAAGGAGTATGCTGTTTTCTCTGTTTAAAAGTTAAAAAAAAATCTGAAATTTTTATGTAACATGAATTTAACTATCAGATAGTTAGTGTAGGTTTGTTGCGTAATGTTTTCCACCAGTTCGAGGGGAGTGTATCTGGATTTCCAGGGTTCATTTTTGAGGACCCCGGGTTCAGAAGTTACAGCACTGGCCCTGCTTTGGGGGTCCAGGAAGTGGGGTGATGGGTGAAGGATCTGAACTGTAACAAGTAGCCTCCTTCTGCTCTAGACTTGGGCAGTGGGTACCTGATTTCCGGTAAAATCTGCTTTACAACTGTATGTTCCGTCTGGTCCCTGTCCTCTCATCCCCTCCCAGTTTACTCATGCTGTAGCTTTGGTCTCTCGTTTCATTGCACACAAGTAATACTACTGGGTAACCAGAACCAGGTGTGAATGTATTTGAGATTTTTATCATCTTTAGCGTGACAGGAAAATTGTGAAAAAACACATATAAAAAGATGTGAGTGGAAGAAAATAACGCAGAGTTGGAAGCTGACTCCCCAAGGCTGATGGACTTGGGATGTGTGAGTGTGAGTGTGTGACAAGCTTCCCATCCCTGCATAGATGCAGTGTTTGTAGCTTAGCACAAAAACTCGGTTTAGTGGTTTCAGCCTCATGTGGCAATGAGATCTTATAGGACAAGGCAGTTTATTGGTATCTGTTAACAGAGCAGTGCTTGCTCTGTCTGTATAAACAGAGAAACAGGCTTAGCCATAGAAGTGCAAACTATCTGGTTATCCCGTGGATTAACACAACCTAGCACTTGGGTCCAGAGCTGTGTTTAACACTGTTTGATCTCCTGGACTTCTGAGTCCAGGCACTTTTTGACAAACCTTTGTCCTCATTTGAGGCATTTCTTGCCAGGTTTTTGCTCCCTTTTTTGTGGGTATTTGCCTCATTCCACCCCCAAGTTTGCAGTCAGACAGTGCCGTTCAAAACTATGTTCTAAGGTGTTTCCTGTAGTGGAGTCATTTTTTGGCAGTATAGTAAGTCAGGCTTTTCCACTAAAAGAGGAAACAGAGGATGGTAATCCATAAGATAAGCTAAGAGCTAATATTAAATTGTTAGAAGAATTCTTCAATTGGAAATTTTGGTGTTGTGTTTTGTTGCTCTATTTCCCAAAAATAACTTGGAGCTGCCCTGGGTGTGTCCACCTACTGCTGTGATGCCTCGGATATCACTCACTTTCAGAAAAAACAAAAAAAAACAGTAATTGTTGCAGAGGTCTCTGTATTTTGCAGCTGCCCTTTTTTAAGATGCACTTTTCTGAAATAAAACAATTTTTAAACACCCTCCCTTGCAAAAAAGTAAAAATAAAAAAACTCAACATTCAAAAAACAAAGATAATGGTATCTGGTCTCATCACTTCATGGCAAATCGATGGGAAAACAACAGAAACAGTGAAAGACTTTATTTCTTGGGCTCCAAAATCACTGTGAATGGTGACTACAGTCATGAAATTAAAAGACACTTGCTCCTTGGAAGAAAAGCTATGACCAACCTAGACAGCATATTAAAAAGCAGAGACATTTTTTGCCGACAAAAGTCCATCTAGTCAAAGCTATGGTTTTTCCAGTAGTCAGGTATGGATGTGAGAGTTGGACCATAAAGAAAGCTAAGAGCCAAAGAATTGATGCTTTTCAACTGTGGTGTTGGAGCAGAGTCCCTTGGACTGCAAGGGGATCAAACTAGTCAATCCTAAAGGAAATCAGTCCTGAATACACATTGGAAGGACTGATGCTGTGGCTGAAGCTCCAATACTTTGGCCACCTGATGTGAAGAAACGACTCACTGGAAAAGTCCCTGATGCTGGGAAAGAGAAGGCAGGAGAAGAAGGGGATGACAGAGGATGAAATGGTTGGATGGCATCACTGACTTGATGGACATGAGTTTGAGCAAACTCTGGAAGTTGGTAAAGGACAGGGAAGCCTGGCATGCTGTGGTTCATGTAGCAAAGAGTCACAAAGCATTGGACAGGACTGAGCAACTGAACTGAACTAAAAGAAAGTCACTTCAAAAAAAAAAAGAAAGTCGCTCCAGCTATTCTGGAGTGTGATGGGGAATCAATGTTTCATTTCTCATTCTGAGCAATTCCCCATTGAAAATAACAGGTCTTCTACCTTTGAGAATCTTCTCTCTAAAATTTCAAATATTTTTCTAATTCCCCAGATTTCTCTAAATTGTCATATGGCCTGAAAAAATGCAACCTCTCAAACTTCTCCATGCTAGGAAGTGTCAGTATGTTGTGCAGGTATTTTATCACCACAAGGTAATTATTACATTGATGATGGAGAAACACCAAGAACAATACCATAGGACTATAGGATTAGTCTTAGCATTAAAAGGAATTGCATGCCCTGAAGCATGTCCTTAATTATTCTGAAGACCAAGTAATCATCTACACTGAATTTGTCAATAACTAATTATGTCTACCTTAATGCACTTTAACTGAACTTCCTTTTTTATAGTGAATCATCCACATTCAAAACCATGAAAGTTTAAAGTTTTTAATAAACTTAAACATGATATCAACAGTGAGAGCTCAGGCTCATGTCCTTTTCTATTTTACACTCTCCTTCTGGGTTGGCTAACCCAGTCTAAATCTCTGAGTACCAATTGTGTGCTGCTGTTGTCTCTAAAGTTTATTTCTCAAGGTTAGTGCCCTCCACTGTACTCCATTATCCACTCATTCAACTGCTTATTTCATCTTTCCACTTGGGTAGATATCTAATGAACATTTTACACTTCATATTTCCAAAAGTCAACTAATACTTCCAAAAGTCAACTAAACTTCTCTAATAACTTTCCCTCTCAATGGAGTGAAAAAGGGCTACCATCTACTGTACAGCATACATGTAAGAATTCACAAATTGTCCCAGACCTGTTGCCTTCCCTCATTCTCTCCATGCAGTCCTTGTACGTCTTACCTATAAAACATAATTCCAAAGTTCATACTTCTCTCCACCCACACTGCTACCATGCTAGTCCAAACCACCGTCTCTTGTCCAGCACACTGCAGCAGTCTCTGAAGTAAATCACTGCTTTTATTCTTGCCCCTCTCCAAACCATTTTCCAAGTACTTGCCAGAGTAATCTTTTTGAAACAGGGTATCAATTCATGCCACTATGCTGAACAAAACCCTACAGTGACTTCACATTGTACTGAGGCTAAAGACCAAACTCCACCTATACGACACTTACCATCTAATCCCTGCCTTATTCTTTGAATCCTTTTTTTTTTTTTTGTCATTCTTTCCTTTGAATACAAACTCCAAAAGAGAAGACTTATCTGCCCAGTGTATCTTCAACGCATCCCTTAAAATAATGTGTGGTACAGCAGATTCTGAATACATGTTTCTAAAAAGAATGACTCAGGTTTCCCAAATATAAATACAAATGTACGCATGCAATCTGGGGGAGGGAGAAACATTGGTCATCATTGTGCTATTTAAATAAGATCATATAAAACATATTTATGTACCTTTTTTTCTCATGCAACAATGATGTGAGGGATTCTTTCTATTCAAATGATAAACGTTAAAAAAATGATGACGCTTTATTTTCTTTTTGTCAATTGTGTATGATATTGCTTTAAACACTCAAATATATTTTCAGTCATACTCTTATTAATGGAATTTTTTTCACTTTTTGCCAATTTGAGTAATGATGCTATATTATTGTATAATGTATATGTCTGTACCTAAATATATGTTTATATTTCTATGAGATTGACTCCAAAAATTAGAATAATGGGGTCAAAAATTATACATTTTTAATTTAAATAAATATTACCAGGAACAAAAGCTATAGCTCTTCACATTTCAAAAGCAAGAGTGTATCCTTTTTCCATATCCATTACACTACTAAGATTTTAGGAAGTTGTTCTTGTTTTTTCTTATTTTTTAACTTTAAGTTTTATTATTATTTATAATAATATATTTATATGTGTTTACAATACAAAATATTTCTATTTTATACATTTAAATACTTTTACCTTTTTTCCTGTTTTTCTTTTCATTCACATTTTTGCCCTTGATTCCGGAAGTTTTTATACTCTGAGACTGTAGATACAGATATAATCTCCTATAATTCTTGTAAAAAATTTTTCGTTCTATTGTTTAAAGTTTTAACCCATATAGAAGCTAGACTTAAACAGTACATGAATGGATAACTTCCAGATGTTCAAGCTGGATTCATAAAAGACAGAGGAACCAGTGATGAAATTGCCAACATCCTCTTGATCATAGAAAAAGCAAGGGATTTACAGAAAAACATCTACTTCTGCTTCATTGACTATGCTAAAGCCTCTGACTTTGTGGATCT